CAGTGTTAGCTGCCACAGCTAAAGCGAAAGGGTCCTGTGCTGCGCTGGAATGAAGCTGTATTCAGAACCATGCTTCCATTTAGCTTCCGTTCAAGACTGCCACAGGGGTAAGACCTTACTAGACCTTACCATACCCAGCCTGGTTAAGGAATACCATGGAAATCGAGAGAACATTGAATTATCCACAACAAAGGGTTGTATGAAATTTCGACTGGCTTGGCTTTACTTTTGATTCGCTAGGCTTCTCTTTATCCCTGCTTCACCTAAACTGATGAGGCCTAACTTCTGAACTCCACATTCTTCCCTCGGGACTCCTGAGTGTCCCTCATAGTGCCTGAAGCCCTAAGAGATTAGTTTTGAGCGTTTTGAGCCTTCGAGTTGAAGGTCTCTGCTCCCCCTTTAGCCTTTAGTTAAGACTGCCTGAGGGATAGGACCTTACCAGACCTTACCATACCAAACTTGGTCAAGAATACCATGGAAATTGAGGTAACTCTGAATTTATTACCACAAAGGGTTGGATGAAATTTCAACAAAGGAATCCTATACCGTGAACGAACGCCGACCTTCCTCAAAGAAGATATGGGTCCTTAGGGAGGCTACGAGCCCGTGGGGCTTCCTTCCGTGGCCAAGAACGAATACTGCGGTTCAAAATCCAAGCCTTACCATCTCACCAGCCGTCATCTCTCCTGCTGTTTCCACAGATCAGACAGCTCGGTCTGACAGCCCCTCGTGAGAAGAATCTCCCCGAAGAAGAATGTGTTTAAAAAATTCAATTTCGAATTTTCAGCGAGTAGTGATCCGCCGTGGTGCGACGTCCACCCTACCGCTACCTCTTTGTATCGCCAACTTTTTGGTCTCATCCGAGTGGTTCTTGTACGGAGTTCTTGTTCGAGACGTCTACCTCATTGTAAGTCTCTGGACATACTTTCTTCCATTTACCAGGTTCTTAACCCAACTCTTTCCAGACCCCAAACGGTATCGGATCTCTTTTGGCATTTGGCCAGCTTTTCTTGTTCGTGATACTGCCACGTAAACCCGGCCAACGATCCCTGTTGTCTCGTCTCTTTGGCTGCTATGGACCTAGTGAAAAGGAAACCGACTTGGAAGCACCCACGAAAGGTTCGTTTCTTGCCCGACACTTACACGCATCCAACGAACATCACCATGACCGCGTAAAGTGGGTCCGATCATGGAAACGGGATATGATATCATAGCGCAGCGATGATGTTTTCGACAAACATCCGTCGTCGCGTAGTTTTACGGTCTCACGTCATCGTGATGGATCTGCCCCAATCCCAATAACTTATCCGGATATTTCCAATGTAATCAATGATAATCAGTGATCATTTCAGAAATCATCCCTCAAGTCGAAGAAACCAACGAGTTTGAGAACTCCAACGCATCGCATCTCACTAGAGCTCGCCGTTGGTCGCAAAAGGTTATGGCCAACGTGAACACCGTAGCCGAAGAGATTGAGCACGTCATCGGCAAAGCCTCCATTCACCACTCGGACCATCAGTAAGTTGCACTTCTTCGCTCAACAGTTCTTACGGGCCTTCCCTGGACAGCGCTGGTAGCCATATGGAGCGATTTCCGGGCCAAGTTTCAAAAATGAGGGATCACAGTGCTGCCCCATGGGGTATGGCGGCGATTTCGTTCCAAATAGAGACTATCTGGAGTCAAACTGCCAGTACCGAATCGTTATCTATCATTCAAAGTAAAGCGTAGCTAAGACTGTCCACAGCTGGCATAAGGACTGAGCAGACTTTAACATTGTAGGGATGGCCTTGCCGGGATGGGGTTAATCCAGCTAGACTTCTACAGTTCTAGCCAGATAGGTCACTGGACATCAGGGTAACGGTTACCGCCTGTGTCAGCCCTAGAGGACGTTAGAAACTCTTGAGGGGGTACTCCTTCCATTGGGAGCCCCTCGGCTCAATTTTGCCCTACAATCGACTGGTTATAAACTGAGAGAACTGATCAGGAAAAGTAAGACAGTTTGACCCAAAAATTATGAACACTGGTCAAATGTCGTGTTTCAGCTCGAGCTTCATGTACTCCCAAACGATCGACGACGATGACACGGCATCCGAAAAGACGCAAGACACCTTAGATGGCCAAACAGCGAAGAACCTTCTGGAGGCGCTAAAGAACGGTCAACAAGTGCTGAACCCGGACATGCTCATGTCGTCCGTGAAACTCCCCTCAGGCTCACTGGCTAACGCACGAAGGGCGAAAATTCGCCGAGTATCCAGCTCACCTGATCTGACCGACATTGGCGTTTTGCCATAAGCTCCGACTGACGATTCTCCTACCGATGTCATCTGGCCCCGTTGGCCGAATGTCTTGTTGAAAATACGCTTTAATTAGTAGTGTGCCAGTTTGGCCCATCGGCGCGTGCAGCTCTACTCCTCATATTTTTTCATATAATGCTGCTAATTGCCGGTGATCCTATAGCGAATACGCGACGCGTACGGTAATCATATTCCGTACCAGATACTGATGCTACAGTAATCTTTACTGTGTATTTGTATTGTTCTCCCTTTTTTCTTTGTACGACTAGAAGCTTTTCAGTGCTTTTGAACAATGACCAAATCGGTCGGCGCATTACTTCATTGTTGCTTTTCTAGCCACTTTTTTAAATGTGTGTGCAATATTGTTTCATAATATCACGCCGTTCGGGTATTTGTTTGTTTGTGAATAAATAAATAATTTGCAAAATTGGGTTCTTATTGAAGGACATAGGTGGGACAATGGCAAAAACCGCTGTTGCCGGCCAGCAAAGGTCCCGAAGATCACAGCTCACCCTACCAAATCGGCCATTCCATCCATCTGGAATAGGTAATTGGCAGTTAATCTCTTAGGTGAGTATAGAAACTCCGAATATACGGCTATACATAGTATTTAAAATAAAGATTTGAATGCCGCTGCGATTTCTGACGGCAGCTGTGTTCATGGCGCACCCCAATTCTGGAATCGGTCCTGTTTTCCCGGCATACAAAACCCTAGTGGAGCGGAATCCAAGGGACTATGGTGCCGGAAAAGGTGGAATAAAGGGCATTGGATTGAGAAACCTACATGGAGGGCTCCAACGACCCCGGGGGCGCGGGGTGGATAGAAAGGGTGGTCTCAGGATTTTCCTGCTACTAGGTTACCATCTTGCAGTAGCCTCCTTCAAACTTCCCACGGCAATTCTCAAATGAGCGCTGCACGCGTTCTATAGAGCCGGAGACCGGTGCACCTTGCCATTGGTAGGTTCCTCCTCCTTACCGTATCCGAGAACAGAACGACCAATGAGGAGGTGCATCGATCTCCGCCCATACGATCATGTGCACTAGGATATCCTTCTTAGGACCATTAGCAGCTTCGTATGCTCTGTTAATTCCCAGTTAAACGACCATTTATGTTCGTTGGCGAGCACAGAAGTCCACTGCTTAGTAACCGTGAAGTGTGCCCTTAGCGTGACCTGAAGATTGCTCCAAATTCTAGCTTTTTTCACGCGCCGGATTCGGGAAGCAGTTTCCATCCCTGTGACGCTAAGCACAACCGCAACGTTGGCCGCCTTTGCACTATGGGTGTAAGAAATCGAAAGATTGCATTCATATCAGGGTCACATCGAGACCTGTCACTGCTACGACAACTGTGTTGATCACGAAGAGTACGTGAAGATCATTGTAACGGTGAGGTAAGGTAAGGGTTAAGGTAAGGGTACTAATGGTAAGGGTTGAATCCAGGACGATCCCTCACTGGTATCGAGCTCGCGTGCCATACTTAGAAAGTGGTTTTCAAAGCGACTAAGCTTGAAGCTCATGTGATGGCGTTGGCTCAGGTCCGATTGGTGTCCTGTATCTTAAACTACCTTTCACGTGTGCAGTAGCGGTCAAAATAGGTCGCCGAAACGTTTTTCGGTGCATTACTTTTTCTCATTCTTCTTTCTCACTTGGGCGGAAGTGCTGTTTGGCAAGTGGCGCGCTTTGCGCCGCGGGACGGGAGATCAATCCTGCGTGGAGTCGGCTCGGCAACCAGCTTCACATACCTTCTGGAGTCGATTGTTGGTACAGACTTGTCTGGGATGATGAACACTGACTTGTTACTGGGCTGTCGCGCAGCATTGTATAGTCCGGTATCGATTCAAACACATACAATGTCAGATGGAAGTAGAACTGCGGCCGCAGCCAAAGGAGATTTGATCAATAACGCTTTCAAAGATTGCTATACTATGTTTTGTAGTGTTTTTATGATCCTCAAGCCTTGAAGTATCAGGTGTACAAGAAAAATTCAAGGGACTACGATTTTTGGGGGATTTTTTGTTTTTTTGTTTTTTTTTTTTTTTCTTTGGCGAGGAGAAGAGAAGCACGGAAACATTTTGGGAAATTTCACCGCTACTGTATATCTACTTTACGCCTTATAGGCCTGACTTTGGACACGTATCTATCCGATTCCAACCTAGGACATTCGGCGTTACATGTGTACCTTTTTTATTGGTTCAGGTATTCTTTTATGATGTTCATGGTCTTGAAAGCATGTTTTGTGTACATGTCAATGTCACAACTTTTCTTAGAGTTCAAATGATCCGGCTTTCATTATTTAGACTTTTTTCCGTGCACATGCAAGTTTCAACCTTCAAACAACCACGATTAAAAGCAGGAGTAGACTTTCTAGTTTACCTTTTAGTTTAGCAAACCATTCAAATTGCTTACGATTAGAAAAATTCCGGGTCGAAAACAGTTCCGTTTGCCCGTCTTTGTGGGGTGAGCGGAACGATTTTTCTCTTTTTTTTGGCGAAATCATCTCGAAAGTAAAAGGTTTAACATCGGCTAAGGAAACAACTTCATCATGAAAATAAAAAATTCAATGCCGAAACTTGGGTAGTTCATTTGAAGGTGGTAAACTTAGCACTTTTTAACTTTTCAAGCTGTATAAGCCAAGGACGTAATAACTTCGAGGTGTTAGAATGTGTCCTAGGCAGGGAGGTATCGAATTGTGCGCCAGTGTTAGTATGCTATAACGTTCTCAATTGAATTCTTTACCAATGGCTCTCGCCTTCTGAGCTCTCTTCACAGACCACACACTCTCCCTCTCCGGCCGCTCTGCACTTCCGTTCTGCATTTTCTTTCGTCGCAGCGACTTTTGACGCGGTTTCCATATCCACAACATTTGCTATTTTGTGGAATGCGATAGATTGCCATTTATAATACAATCTGAATCTAATAGAGGTTTTTGCAACAGTAATTCTGCGTCTCCAAACTCACCCTGTCTTCCCCCCTCCCTGTCGACATCCTCATCTATAGACCGCAAGCGACACTCCCAGTCCACCACCACACAGTCACTGGTCACTACTTGAAAGTTTGGCTTTTGCATCACTCCCTGTTTCCGGTTGCTGTGAGGTCTATGACCGAGATTTCATTAAGGGAATGGAGAAGGCCTTCTTTTAAACGAGGGTGAGCCGTCAACATGGCCCCACGGCCAAATACGTAGTAACTGACAGCCCAGACCAATTCATTACCGTACCCCGCATTCATTGTTTACTTTGTACCTTCTACTGTCTGTCGACATTGTCTGGCAGCAATAACGCATGACCTAACAGTTGCTAGCCTCAGTGGAATCGTCGGAAACTTTATGGCAAACAACACATATCTAGGAGACTCGATCTGACCATTCCGTCTAGTACGAGAGGCAGAATTCAGGTGCTACATGATCTTAATAGTGCATCGGTAGCCCCCTCCCTCGCCCACCCAGAAAATACTGTTCGATTCCGGGCCATCACCCTGTGATTATTTATGGCTTCGACTGCACTTTGCAGGAAATCACCGAATTCAGAAGTAAAAAAGATGTTGAGCATTATGGGTAGGAGCGCTACTCAGAGAGACCAATAGAGGTAAAGTGGCCTGTTCAGAATTCAGCTTTCTTTTGACATCCACATATGCAACTTGGATCACCTATATATCTAATTTGTAAAGAAGAGTTAGTTTAACGTAACCTAAAAGCGATCGAGGGAAAGGACAACCTGACAAGCGCCAAGTGACTCTCTCCTTATACCCCTCGCATGTGTCCGCTCTGCTTGACAAAGATAGGCGAAAGTGAATAGTGGGTACCGAATTTATGGCTTCGCTTTAAATGAATTATAGAGCCATGCGATCTCTGCTCAGCCCCTTTCTTACCCTACATTAGTCTTGAAAAGTTTATGAACAATGCCCGGATATAAGAAGAATTTTTGGGGCAGGACAGGTGATTACGGCAGTTTTCGCTCGTTTTGATAACTGCCGTTCTTGTCTCAAAATTTTTCTTTCAAGCTTGACGGACAGACCCAGCAGCTTAGAAAATCTCTGAGCACAAAGGTACAGCTGTTCCCACGATTTAAAGGTACAAGGGCACCAGTCCGTAACATTTGGTTGATGGTAGGAAACGCCTCGACCCGCGGTTCCTCTGCATCTCGC